ACTCAACTCAGTTAAATGGAACAGGGTCACATAAGATGGTTAAGTAAATCCAACATTTCATTTTTTTTACAGTGTATGGGGGTCGTTAAAGTTTTCATTTGATCCGGTCTTACTTGGTGAGGAGGGGAGCCGTTCCGCATCTGTCTGTCCTCATCGGATGTCCCGGAGTGGACGGAGAGCTCCGGGGAGCCGGYCGGAGCCTCCCCGGGGCTGGAGGCGTCTGCGGGCCGCTCCTGGCTCTCCTCCCGATGCGCCGACGAGTCCTGGCCCGGCGAGATCCGGATCGACTCGTCGTCCTCCGGTCCCCGGTTGGACTCCACGTCCACGTCCGGGTCGTCGTCCTCGTCCACCGCGCTGTCCCTGTCCGGAGACAGCGATCTGTAGCTGGAGCTCTCGCTGATAAAATCCGGGGACAGGTAGCCGGAGCGCGCGCCGTATCCGTCCCGGTTGCCGTAGAGTTTGGCGATGCTCTCCGCGTCCTTGACGACGGGTCTGAAGGCGGAGAYGTAGCTGATCTTCCTCTGCGAGGCCTCGTCGCCGGACCTGTCCTCGTCGTTCCGGGTGGAGGAAGACTGCGAGCCGGGGCTGCGCTCGCCGCCGTCCCGCTGGTGGTGGGGGTCTTTGGGGGTGTTTGCGCACCGGTCGCTTTGGTCCGATAGGTCCAGCTCAGCTTGCCGGACAGCCGGAAGCTCGGGAAGAGGAGGCTTGGGCGGGGAGCCCGGGTACGGCGGCATGGGGAGGCCGCCCGCTGCGGGCCAAAACATGGGGAAGGCGGGGTAGAGCGCGTCCTTGGCGCCGGGCCAGAACACGCCGGACACGGTGGTTTTGTTCGCCTCGGGGACTCCGTCGCTCTTCTTCGGACACAGGCCGTAGCTGGGGAAGGCGTACGGGTGGTGAGGGAAGAGAGGCGGGGGGATCTTCTGCAGCATGCCGAAGCTCTTGCTGGGCACGGGGATGACCGGGTAGCTCCGCGCGCCGCTCGCCAGGCTCAGGTTGTTGCCGCCCTGCTCCTCGTCGCACCGCAGGGCCTTGTGGGGGATCTCAGGGGAGCTGGTCTGGGACAGACTGGACGAGGCCTGCGGCTTCAGCGGCGACGACATCCTTGAGCCGTTCATGGGCAGCGTCCTTTTCCTGCTCCCTCCGTTGAACATGGCCTTCACGTCCTCCCACGCGTGGCTGACGTCGTCCGCGGTTTTTTTGTCCGACAGCTTCAGGTGCCGTCTCCACGAGTTGAAGTTGGCCGCGTCCGGCTGCAGGTACTTGGACTCCGGGGTGCGGTGCGAGTGGAAGATGAATTTATTCGGAGAGAAGTACATGCTGCACAGGCTGCACTTGATGCACTTGGCCCTGGAGCTGTTGTATCTGGCCGGGATGAAGCTGCCCCTGCAGCCCCACGCGCACTCGTGACACACGTCGAAGGCGAAGTTCTCCGGCAGCTTCGGGGGGCTGTGCGCCCCCAGGAACGACTTGCAGAGCCTCTCGGCCTCCCGCTTGGTGATCATGCCGCAGCGTCTGGAGGAGATGGGCATGGCCCCCGCGCGCCGCAGCAGCTCCAGCTGCACGGGGGTGCACTGCACGCACGTGATGCCCAGAGCCACCCGCCGGTTGTGGATCTCGTTGTAGCTGTAGTTCTTCAGCAGGGTGTTGGAAATCTGCGCCAGGCAGAGCCTCTCCTTGCCGTCGATGAYCAGAGACACGATGGGGACCCCGTACAGGGAGGTCTCGCTCACTTGGTTCGGCTTCAGGGAGCTGGGCCCGGAAAAGCTCTGCGCATCCTGCTTCAAACCCGGGGAAGAGCTGGCGTCCCGTCCCGCGTCTCCAAGGTGTCCGGGGATCGACTCCATCCCTGGAAGCCTGTCAGCCAGAGAGAAAGTACTCAATAATAA